ATATTTTCATTCAATAAGCCTACCGACTGGACAATAGGGAGAAACGTTTCCCTAACGTATGACTGGTCCACGAAATTAGAACACAGATAAATGAGTCTGGTTGAGGTTTCTAATTCTGGTATGAACGGCAACTCCAACAATGCATATTCCTACGATCCATCCAAAGAGAAAAAAAGAGATTATGATATTCACTAAATAATATCTCTACTTTCCAATATGAGGTTGTGTAAATTATAATACAGAAAGGGTACCCGTTAACTTATAATAAGATAGCAAATGTTTTGATTGGACTGATATCTTATTTCTCACCAAAACCCACCCACATATCAAGCCAGTACCAAGTAATTCAAACCGGTTCAAACCGGTTCCTGTATCTCTGCATGAAAATAATCACCCATGTATTTAAAACTTTACAAACAAACCAAAAAACAGAGGCAAAAAGTTAAAAAAAAAACATTTAAAGAAATTAAAACAAATTTAAACAAATCAAAGAAAACAAATTTGGTAGAAACGCAAACCGAAATCTAGGTGTCAAATTTCATTACTTCCATTCAATTGCTTTTGTTTTCCTGACTACTTTAAAAGTCGGAAAAAGAGGCAATTTTACTTATAATATTTCAGAACGGGTATTTATAATAATTATCTAAATAATATAGTTATTTTGTTGTTGTATTCATAAAAATCATTGTCCCCTGTATTTTTTCTTTTTTTTTAATCATCATAACTATTGTTACCTGTATTTGTATATATAAAAGTAGTACTTATGTGGTCACTTGATTAAAAAACTAGATAACCATTAAAGGTGTCAGACCACCAATTCACAATCCCAATCTATTCAACCATTTTTTATCAATTCCCTCCGCTTTCTAAGTATTTTACCTAAAGTTTAACTTCATAGAAACCAAGTACATGTATATCCTGAATTATACATGTATCACCTTTCCACATGCCAATTTTCAACCAATGTTAAAAGTCTTGTAGTGAAATATGACCGTTCGGAAGTCTACTGCTACTAAAAATGACCCCTTGTTTCCTGGAAATCTTAAATAATTATACTATGGAGCATATTAATTCTCAATTTTAATGCAAACTCATGGACGAGTAATTTAGCTCAGAATGGTTTAAACATATTTCCCTTTCACCAAAAGTTTCATTTCTGCAAATTTGTTGGTAAGTTTAAGTAAACAATGACATCAAAAACACTATTTTTTGTCAGAGAAGGGCTTCTTTGACATATGTTCTATATTGGAGTGGCTGTTTTGGTTGTCTGACACCTAAAACTATTGACGATAAAAACCGATTACGACCAAGGACTTATTTTTTATCAAATACACATGTTAACCGTATCAATAATTGATGAAATGCATTACTATCTTACGTCTGTTGTGCAGACAACACAGGCGTGTGGCATACAAAATCATAAGTCTGGTATCTCTGATCAGAAGATGGAATCAAATTTTGATTAAATACTTTCTATTGATATTTCTTCTCTATTTTGATTATTTATAGGTATCTTTATTCTAATTAGACACATGTGTTATGTGTTATACTATAACGTATAGATATCTTATAAGCATTTCTGTTATCAGCAGATTGAATCAAAGATTGGTTAAATACTCTCTATTGACATGTCTTCTCTATTTTTATTATTGATGAGTATCTTTTTATCAGTTACATGTGTGATGTGTTATATAAAAAAATACGTATTTTGTGAATATTTTAGTGGTATGGGTATCTCTATTCCATCTTTTTGAATTGTTTTAGTCGGTTGCTTTTAAATTTTGAGTATTTTTCGGTTTTTTTTTGGTTTTTTTTTTTGTATGAAAAAAATATTGTATAGTGCATATCCTAGAAAGAATGAAAATAGGTGATATGTTATTCTAGAATTGGTATTTTTATATTTATTTTATTTTATTTCAAAATTTAATTTCATTTTGCTATGATGAATTTAAGATAACTAAAATTGAATGAAAATAGGAGACATGTTATTCCAGAATGGGTATTTTTATATTTACCTTATTTTATGATTTTTTTTAATATTATTCATTCATTCATTCATTCGTTCGTTCGTTCGTTCGTTCGTTCGTTCGTTCGTTTGAGTGGACCTTCAAAAACATAGAAATTATTTCTATAGCACCTTTGCGCATGAATCTATTTTTTGGAAAGTTGAAGGTAGACCATGAACATATATTTTATATTTTGGGCTTTTCACTTCATGCTATTCTTTTAAAAAAATCTAAATTTTTAATGTCTCGGTTAAGGTACAGGAGGAATGTTTATTTGCATGCAGAGAAGCAGAACCGGTTGGCACCATTTCCAATTAAATAGTATTAGCTTTGAATGTGGGCGGGTCTTGGTGAGAAATAAGGGTTGGAAGGTTGGACTGAAAGCTCGTTTTCACAGGTTTTCACGAGATCTCATTGTATTGAGCTTGAGTTATAAAAGAATCTTAGTAAAGACATGCCGTTTCAGTAAACAGGTATCGCGTCCCGGAATAAGGTATTGCGTCAAGGAATAAGGTATTACGTCTCTGTTCGCCTATCCCGTCAACCTTCAATTGTATGACTTTGTTGATATAGGATATTACTTCACTATTCGCGTGCCCGTACACCTTTAAGGGTAAGATGTTCTGGATATAGGGTATTACGTTACTATAAGCGTAACCCGTACACCTTCATGCGGGTTTATACAGCTCTGACTATAATACTCATATTATTGTAAATCAAAAATTCCATTAGATCAGTTTTTAAACATTAGCCAAAAAAAACTCTTACTGATGAGTTTGTTGTGGTATTGTCAAAAAGCCACTCAATTATATTATCTTCAGCCGTGCGAACTTCTTTCATGTTATCTCTTAACCAATAATAAAAGTTTTAACCAAAATTCGTCGAGAATTATGCCAGACAAGAGGCAAACCAGGAAAAAGTTAAGGCTGTAAGGTCGTTGATACAAATCCGAATAAAAACCTAATGGATCTATGAACAATCGTGCTACAGGCAACTTACACGACCCAAATGTTGCTATGCACCTGTCCTACCTCCATTACAAATATGTAGTGGTCCCTGTGAAGCCTAACAAGATAGTTTTTGTCCCCCACGTAACGCGTTGCGGCGGACATGGAAATACCGGGTGTCCGTCCGTTTCTTCGTCCGTCCGGTCTTGTTAGCGCTCACACAGGTACAATTCTTGCCAGATTTTTATAAAACTTATAATATAGGTTAAAATCAGCAATATCTCGGAAAAGTTCTATAATGGTGGCCGATGGACTTTTTTTAAAAGAGTTATGCCCCTTGGAAATAATAAATTATGTAAAATGGCCTGGTAAGCGCTATCACAGGTACATTTCTTGCCAGATTTTTATAAAACTTATACTATAGGTTAATATCAGCAATATCTCGGACAAGTTCTATAATGGTGGACAATCGACTTTTTTTTAAAGAGTTATGCCCCTTGGAAATATTAAATTTATGGAAAATGGCCTCTTTAGCGCTCTCACGATTTATTTTGCTTGTAAATCTCATTTCATATAGTATACATTATATAAGCTTGATAAGGGAACTAGATATGGACATTTCACTTTAAACGCCAACACATACTAACAAGACGCTTACTAAAGAGGAATTCCGGGACAAATATAAGCCTGTTTTTATGTTCCTTTTAATTTTCAACCATAGATAAAGAACTAGTTCTTCCTCCACTCTACTTGATAGCAAAATGACATAAGTTGCTTTATAATTCAATGACCTTATATTGCTGGGTCTGCCAAATGCTCCTTAAAACATCTTTCAAAATCACTACCAGATTTACTGTGAAACTTAACATTTTAAGAGGTGTGGATCAGATCTAGACATTAAACAATCCCAAATATCTGTTTTAGTAGATACAATCAAAGTCTCTTTCCCCGTGCCATTATATAAAAACCATTTGATTACTGTACTTTTTACACAATTATCCCACATTCTACACTTTGAGACAGTTTTACCAAAAAGAATGATCCACGCAGCTTGATTTGTTTAAGTGATACTAAATTTATTACGCCTTGAGGACGTGTTTTGTTTTGTATGGGAACAGTCTGTGTCCCTTCTAGACGATTTGATTATTTGTTAGTATGATTCAAACTTTATGCAGGAGACTCTCACGAAAATGAAGGAAACTGGTATTCTCATTAAACTTTATTTTTCAATATATCATGTCCTCATAATGAATAATTCGAAGTTTGGTGACTATGTTGATCACATCTGTACCATTGCACTCTGCTTCATATCTTTGACTTAGATATAGAAATTAGCAATAAAGGCCGGTTTGATAACCGAACTTTAACGTCCAAAGATATCATTTCAATTTTGTCTTTGTGAACTTTCTATTTATTTGTAAAAACATTCCAGCAGCTCCCTCGAATAGTGTATATCGCACAGCTGATGCAATATCAATGACCCGCATTCATGATATCCTTCATTGAGCGTTTCTGCTTACAGAGAAGTTTTTGAACCAAGAATTTACAAAAACTAGTCGTAAAGTTGAAGTTATTCCTTCATTTAGTCGATCAAAATGAAATATCTGTGTCACAGATGCCCAATGATGTCTTCCACATGTCGTGAATATAGTTCTGTACTCTTTTTTTCACTGAATTCGACTTGTTGTCGACTTTTTACTTGTCATGAGTAACACGACAAATCTTCTGGTTGAGCTTTACTTCTTATCCTTTTGGAGCCCCTGAGTTCTCCCCATGTATTTACAATACACTATAAGGTTATTGTTGCTCAATCTTTAGTTATTCATATAGTGTTTTGTGGACTGTTGCTGGTCTATTCTTCGTTTGTCTTTTTGGCCATGGTATTGGGTTTTTTTACTTATGTTTAGTGTTGACCACTTTGTATATTCTTCCACTAAATATAATAATTCATATGCCCTTTCAAAAAAAGAAAATTTGACTCTGGACGTCAAGCAAAAACCAATAAATATTGTTAGAAATGTATAATCTCATAACTTTTTCATGTAAGCTGACGGTTTACAACGACAGTCATCTGGAAAATTCTCAGCAATAGATCGCGACAACAGTGGTGGTAATAATTATGCAGTAAGCCACGGAGCATGGTGGTACAAAAGTGGTTCCAATACTTGGTTAAACGATGATCAAAGAGAAAATTACTGGAAAAAGTATATTGGTCCGAAGTCAACCATGATGATCAGAAGATTATAAAATAGTTTGTTAAGGTTCATTTTTATATTCTAACCCAAAGGAAACAATAAACTTTTGCAGAGTAGACAGCAACTTTTTTTCTCTTTCATATTTATTCTGTAACCAAATACACTGTTGTAAAATGTCGAATGCAAGTGCGCTTTTACCTATAGAATGCAAGAATGTCTTATTGTTATATGCAACCTAAAAGAATGATTTTGAAGTTTATTAGCTGCAATTAAACAAATAATTTAAAATAATGAAGCTATTGTTTTCCTACAAACGCATTTGTAAGTAATCACCTGCATTGTTCTCAGTGGCTTCACCCATGATCAAAAACAATAGAAAATTTACTCTTCTTATGAAGAAGTCAAGAACATCAACAGTAAAACAATATCAGTCACAATACAAATCAAAATATATTTCTAAACAACAATCGTACATTTCAAAGAAATTATTTGTTAAACTGTGTTATTAGAAATATACATGCAAATACACGATGATTTATGTTTTTATCGAGATAATTGTATCAGAACCGCGAGTTGGTTGACCGTTATGGAAAACCTATTTCACAGGTGACAACGAATATGTTCCAATTGTCGTAATCACAGTCTCGTCCTCTTTTTCCCGAAAGTTACCTACCGAGTTAGACTTATCACCGGGTTTGTACTTACAGGAGTAACACGACGGGTGCCATATGTGGAGCAGGATCTGCTTACCCTTTCGGAGCACCTGAGATCATCCCGGTTTTTGGTGGGTTTGTGTTGCTCAGTCTTTAGTTTTCTATGTTGTGGTTTGTGTACTGTTGTTTGTCTTGGTCCTTTTCCTTTTTTTACCATGACGTCGTTTGTTTATTTTCGACTTATGAGTTTGAACGTCCCTTTGGTATCTTTCGCCTCTCTTTTGTGAAACTGAAATTTAAAAAGTGTTAATCTTTGCTGCATATTTATAAAAAAAAATCATGAACTCACAAAATCTAAAGATCTTTTGGGTGACCAATTTTCTGAATGTTCCACATGTTCTTAGCATGTTATAATTTCCCAAAATATACCTAGTTTCCAAGTCTAATAGAAATATAGAACTCTGATTTCGTTATACTCCATATGGAGTATAACGAAATCAGAGACTGCTATTTTCCACATCTAAAATTTTCGAGTATACCGGTCTGCTCTTTTCGTGTGAACTTTCAAAATAGAAATATTGTCTTTTCGTGAATAAAACAAATTAAAAGTCGTGTATGTGCAGGTTCAAATATTAAAGATAAATATTTTTATAAAGCAGGGTATCCGTTAAATTTTTTTACTATTTTTTTATACAATTTTAGGAAAAGGTCGTCTCGATTTCTGTACATGTATTTGAGGTTTTCTTGGTCTATTCACATTCAATGTCTACATCCGGATAAGGTCCGTTTGAATTTGCTTAGTAACTTAATTTCAAAAGTGTAATTTTTTTTCATATCAATCGATTCCTTTAGTATTTTTCCTCTGTACTTCTCTCATCTAGCTGCATACATATACGAATAATTGGAATGTTTCAAATAGGTATACAGCAGTAGTCAAATAAATTGAAGATGGTACTTCAGGAATTCATTCACATAGCAACATTTTAAACCAATTATAGCCTACTGACACGTCGTTTGTTATTTCAGGAGGGAAATGATTATATGGAAATTTTGTTCTTATTTTAATTCATTCTTATTGTTACTATTTACCAGAACGTTTTCTTGTAAAATTATAGTTATTAGTATTCTTGCTAAATAAAGGCAACAGTAGTATACCAGTGTTCAAAAGTCATAAATCGATTGAGAGAAAACAAATCCGGGTTACAAACTAAAACCGAGGAAAACACATCAACTATAAGAGGAAAACAAAGGAACAACAGGACCACTGAAGTGCAACAAAATCAAACGCCAACATACATAGGAACGAACTATTTCATAACAACTGCCATATTCCTGACTTGGAACAGGACATTGTAAGAAAAAATGGTGGATTGAACCTGGTTTTATGGCTAGCAAAACCTCCGTCTTATATGACAATGTAAAAAAGTATCGCTAAAATGACAACACTACGTGACAGAAATACCGCACAAACACACACAAGATCACTCATCACAGAGAAACGCACAAACAAATAATATAATAGTCGACAATCATGCAAACAGCAGGATAACAACGAACATCTTCCATCAACGACAGACACCACAAACAGTGACTCAATTACGTTACGAACATGCAATCTAGAACTTTATACAATTATTTTCACAATACCAGTCCAAACAATTTTCATGAAAATGATGGTATTGAAAGGCAATTTTATAATGATTTGGACTACAAACAATAAGACATAACACATTATCCAACCGAAACCATAACAGAAACACCATCAATAAATACATGAATGTTGGATGTACAAATACCGAGACATGTCGTATAGCAATGCAAATTAACACTCATATTCGGGAATAGGTCACGTTCGGTACTTAGCAGACAGACGACATAGATGTTAAACCACAATCTAAGACGTGGTAAAAATGTCATCAGTTATTTTAGACACAGACACATCGTATAGATCAACCAATTCGTGATGGTGTCCATAAAATTTACGGAGTGTCATTTTTAATCTTTCCTCCTCATAACTCTGTTGGAGCAGTTTCTGCGTAAGGAGCACACTCCTGTATATGAAGTCATTAAAGTGTGAACATGCACGAGCATAACGTACCAATTGAGCGGAACCAACTTTGAACAGATCAAGTTGTCAGTGTTTACAGGGGAGGTAATTTTTTGTCACTCAATTGCCCATTATACTTTTGTGTGGTATGTGCACATCTATCATATAATTAGGTGTTATAAATTGACCTTTCCTTTAAATGACCTTTGTGATAACTGTGGGTATGTTTCGTTTGTTGGCATCAGTTTGAAGGAAATAAGTAAGCTTTTAGTGTTGAATATGGTAGACATCGAATTGATAGCCATGAAATGAATATATACTATTTAGAAGTTGATTCCTACAACAAATAACATTTATTTTGCACTTATTTAAGTAAACCACCAAATATTTATATGCCAAAGAGAGACAACAAATGCAACATTATGGGCTAGAAAGGCTTGACACATGCACATACTAAAGTGAAGTTTTATCTTTTTGGGGGATCAACAAACCGCCTCCATACCTTCTAGATAATAATAACTGATTGGAAAATATAAGCTAAAATAGTGCATATTAAAAAAACAAAGAACCGGACGTTCATTTGTTGTAATGGCAACTGATTTTTGGTACAGGCTAAATATGTGAACATATGTACTTCTAAGCTAGGTGATATAACCTATACTGTCGATTCACGGTTAATAAAACTTACAAAACTAGCCTATATCAGACGCAATGCAGGCTTCATTGACTGTAATTGAAAGCTATTGGAAATTATTGACTGACTGAAACCTTATGACTGATCAAGTTGATGTATCAAGTCTTAAGTGCTTATAAGCATTTTAAATTTTCAAAGTTGAAATGAACAACTTGTCAATCATGTCAATGTTTTAGCTAATTTTCCTACATGATAGTAGGATGGTGTGTCGTCTAATGGTACCTTTTTTCCGGAAAATGAAATACTGAATCGTAGATTTACAACGGTTGTCTATGTATTTTAAAAAAAATCTATTTAATAATATACATAATAAATTTTGGAATATGTGAGACAGCAACCCAACTGCACCAAAAAGGCATAAATACAAGGTTTTTCTACTATGGGAACAACATTAGCTATATGCATTATAACAATTGCTGGAAAACAAAACAAAGACTACTATAACTGATGACTATAAACACAGATACATCACCACCATTCTTAAAAGATTTTTTTTTTATTTATCTTTTTGTTGTTCAAACTACAGTGCATACATACATTGTTACAAGACATAAGTGAATAGAATATATGACATTGTAATTATGCGACTAAGAAATATTAAGGATTTACAAGTCTTCGATGAGAATGTACAGTATATGATACTATCTTAAGAATACATGGGAGTTTATTTATAGCGAATCGGCTGTGAAATTTGAAAGCCATATACAAGACATGCAGATATTTTACCACCATAAATATGACTGATAATAAGAATGTACGAACAATATGATACCAAGATACAATAAAAATCATAAAATGAAAAAGAAAAAAAAGAAAGAGCAAAAGGAAAGAGCAAAAACTACTTCAGAAAACCTTTCACTAAAAAAAAAAGATTGAGCAACACAAACCAAACATAAAATCGAGGTAAAACACGGATACTCAAAATAGGCGAGTATGTTTTGGGTTTAAATCATGAAAGGTGAAAAAGGGTGGGATTGTGAGTGCGACAAATGGTACGTATACGTGATCAGTTTTGAAATAAATTTCTTTAACCAGGTAAATAAACGCCAGACGCGCGTTTTGTCTACAAAAGTCTCATCAGAGACGCTCGAATCAAAACAGTTAAAAAAGGCCAAAGTTGACGACCGTAAAACATTCAAAAAGACGATTGCAACTTTACCATTTAGTTGCTTCTTAGCGAGCAACATCCGTAATTCAATGGAAGCCTTATTAAAGACCCGCAACGAAGATATATATTTCATTCGCATGCGTTGCTGGAAAGTTGATTTCCTTGAAAAATGGTTGCCGCTTACAATGAACAAGAGAAGCGAAAGATACCAAACTCATAAATCGGGAAAACATATACTATAAGAGGAAAACAACGGAACAACATAAACACGGAACCAAACGCCAACATACATAGAAACGGACTATTCTATTTTACATACATAGAAACAGACTGAGCAAGACAAATCCCACCAAAAACCAGGGATGAAGCTATTAAACTAAGGGTTCCAAGTGATGAAATTGAAGTCATCCCATCGAAAATTTTACGGACGCAATTACAAGTTCGATGGCCGTTATGGAATATTTGTTTCATATATGGCGATGGATGTGTTACAATACGCCAGTTCCGAGATACTGCAGTTAGTTGAATCTCTCAATTGTCTTCCCTTACCAGGTGACCAAATTGTATGCATCGTCACTTCCAACACATGTGGACGAATGGGTGAAAAAGTGTGATGACATTCTGCACAAAATAGTCGGGAAATTAAAAACTTATAAGTTGGTCACCCTCCTTTCAGAATTGAGATTGCATACCTACAGAACATAAATTATTTCTAGACTACCCTGCAGAATGACGATCCTGAAAATGCGTGAAACTTGAATAGTGCAGGGATACAAGCGCGCCTTCTATCTGGTAAATGACCTCATAAGGGCGTGCGTAATTGACGATCTTTTCCGGTGAAAGATATGATTATGGAAATAGCCTGTTGTTGTAACAACAATCCTGACTGTCCTCTTTTCCGCGAATGTGACATCACCGAGTGAGACTGATAACTAAATTTGTACTTATATGAGCAATACGTAGGACATGTAGGATGCCACATGTGGAGTGGTATATACTTACCCTTACAAAGCACTGCGATCCCTATCATTTAAGTTTTCTAAACTGTGTTTTGTAAACTGTTGTTTGTCTATTTGTCGTTTTTTGTTATTTGCCATGGCCTTATCAGTTTTTCAAATTATGAGTTTTTAGAAATATTCGTTTGATATGTTTTCCGCCTCTCCTTTGCTACATAACATTGGAATATTGATTTGTTTATTTTCCAGTAATGCATAATTGACATCATTCTGTAATTCAAAGATTTTTGCACTATTAGATAAGATGTGGTCAAGGCAGCAACTGCATCCTTCGAGAGAATTGATAATTTAGCGGTTAAAATAATCATTGTTATTTCAAAGAGTGAACTGTGAGGTAGCGGCAAAACTTTATATTTTGCATCTTATTCAAATTTCACAGTTAATAGTTGGATTGGGTTGTACAAACGTCAATTATAATTGCATCCTAAATTCAGTATCCTACGTTCATATTTCCTAAGTAATTCTATTCCACAGATGCATATGTTGGCCTCCTAGACGGCTGGTCAATTTAATAGCGTCTTTATATCTCTATTTTTCTTCAAGCAATAAAAGAGAATGTCTATTGTCTTGCCTAGAATAAATACAATACAATTCATCATGCTATTCTCAGACTTAAAAAAAGAGTCTAAAACTGATCCATTCCGAAAAGGAATAGATATTAAACTTTTTAAAATAAATAACTCTATTTGCCCTTTTTTAACTTTAAAGAGATATTTAAGTATTAGGCAATCAGAATTTGGAATTGGGTTTCAATCCGATCCGCTTTTTATAACAGGGAAAAAGGAAGCTTTAACTAGACAATTTTTCTAGTTAAAATTGAAAAATATTTTAGAACTTATTGGTTATGACCCAAACTTGTATAATGGTCATTCTTTCAGATCGGGTGCCGCAACTAGTGCGGGAAAAGCACGCGTAGAAGATCATACGATCAAAGCATTTGGTCGATGGAAATCGGATAGTTATTGTAGACATTTCAAGATTTCTCTAACTTCTATTAAATATGCTCAACAATGTTTAACTGAATTTTAAAAATTTCTACATTTGTATATAGAAGTGTTTACTTTTGTATATTAATATGCGTATCTTCAGTTTTAGTAGATGATTCTACTTGTCTTTGAAGCATGTTATATTATTGTTGATATATTGATGGCGAAACCACCTCACACTATCCTTGGGGGCACTCAGCTGATTCTCATCTGAGGTTTTGGACATAAATGAAATTTTATTGTCTGAAACTATAAACCAAATTTCATATATTCCCCAAGAATTCAGTTGTCTCATCACCAC